TAAAGATTTTTTTAAATTACATTTATTTGCTGTTTGGGGGGAGAGGCATGTGTATGTCATGGTGTTTGTGTAGCGATAAGAGGACAATTTGGGGGAGTCAATTCTTTCCTTCTATCACATGGGTCTGGGGGATCAAACTCAGATTGTCAGGCTTGGTGACAAGCCTTTATGTACTAAGTCATCTTACCAGTTCTCAAAAGTCACTTTCTAGCTGAGGATAGTGGTACATGCCTGTAATCCTAGCACTCAGAAGTCAGTCATAGGCAGGAGAATTCCTGAAAGTTTGGAGCCAGCCTGTGCTACAAAAAACGAGAACTGTTTTCACAATCTGTGTCTCATTTGATTAAATAAAATAGTGGTGGAGGGGTTGGGAATGAAGCTCAGTTGGAAGAATGCTTGGCATGAAGTCCTGAGTTCGATTCCCAGCACCACCTATACCAGACATTTTGTTCCATACCTGCAATGTCAGTACTCCAGAGGTAGAGGCAGGAGGATCAGGAATTTAAAAGGTCATCCTCCACTAGTAGTTTGTGTGCAAGGTCAGCCTGGGGTGTGTGAGGTCCTGCCTTAAATAAGCAAGCAGATAAATAAAATATTCCTTTTAAAAAAACAGAAAAGAAATAAGGGTGGAAAAAAAGATAATTCCTACTTTTACAGACACAGAGAGGCGAGGAAAGTCACATCTTACAATCTGCAAAGCAGAGACTGCAGTGTTGTTTTCCGGGCTGACAAAAGCATCTTTCTGGCTTGTGGAAGTGACTTCATTATCCAGCTAAGACGTTCCATTTCCAGCCTTCGTTGGTCTAACTTCACCTACTTGTTCTAGTGTCCATTTCCTTGTTCTAGAACATGGGAAGTGTTTGGGCTCCTGTGCCACTGTGGTTTGGACAAGTAAGAACATGAGCCATGTTCTGGGACCTCAAGGACTCAAATTTCCAAAGTCATTGTAATTACAGAGCAGCCCTGGCTACCCTCAGGAAAGGGCTTGGAGTGTGGGTGCTGTCCGAGGAAGGGCTGAGGCTACTGCCACCGGTGCTAACAGGCTGGGATTCCTTTATAATCGCCAGTGTGAGTTAAAAGAGTTTATTAAGACACACATCTGGATGTGGTGGCACATACCTGTAATCCCAGTACTCAGGAGGCTGAGGCAAGAAGATAGTGAGTGGTTGGCCAGTCTAGACTTCCTAGTGAGACTGTGTCTCAAAAGAAAGGAGGGATGAACATGCAATATACATACACCCTTAAAAAACATGGACAGCTGGGCATTGTGGTGCATGTCTTTAATCCCAGCACTTGGGAGTCAGAGGCAGGGGGATCTTTGTGAGTTTGAGGCTAGCTTGGTCTACATAGTGAGTTCCAAGCCAGCTGGAGCTACAGGGATACCCTGTCTTGAAAAGACCAAAAAACAAAAACAAAACCCACATGTAGACAATTATAGATGAAATGTTAAAATGTTAATCATTGTTCTCTCTGGGTTTTTAAGACATATTTGATCTTTTTTTTTAATATACAAGATCTCATGTAGCCCAGGGTATCCTTGAACTTGTTGAAAGATGATGATAACTTTGAACTCTTGATCCTACTGCTTTCACCTCCCAAGTGCTGGGATTGCAGGTAGGTACCATGTCCAACTCTACATTTTTCCTTGTTCTTAAGTATTTATTTTCCTTTCTGTTTTCTTCCTCCTCCTCCATCCACCATAGGCATGGATAGTCTCTATAATTCAGGTAATAAACAGATAATTTCATTTGATGTTTAGAAATGCTAAAATGTTAGTGTTTAGCAAAATCTAGCATACAGACACTACAATGTAGTTAAAAAATTTTTTTGATTGATTTTTTTTTTAACTGTATGAGTGTTTTGCCTGCATATGTGTAGGTACACCCATGTCCTGCAGTGCCTAAAGAGGCCAGAAGAGGGGGTCAGATCCCCTGGAACTGGAGTTAAGGAGAGTTGTTAGCTGCCATGTGGGTGCTGGGAACAGCACTTGGGTCCTTGGCAAAAGCAGTTATGGCTCTTAATTGCTGAGCCATTTCTCCAGCCCCTTCAGATAGTTTATTAGCAGAATCAAATCGTTTTGCAAGTGATTGCATGTACTATCCCTTTACAATCGTTCTCCTACTGGGGATTGAACCCAGGACTTCACACATACTAGGCAAGTGTTCTAACACTGAGCTTCACCTCTAGACCACTTGCCATACTTTTTTTGTTTGCTTGTTCTTGTTTTTATTTATTTATTGTTTGAGACAGGGTCCCATCGTGTATCCCAGGATGGCTTGGTGTTCCCTGCCTGCCTCCCTCCCTTCCTTCTTTCCTTCCTTCCTTTTCTCCCTCCCTTCCTTTTCTAGTTTTTTTTTGAGATGGTCTTACAATATTGTCCATGCTGGCCTGTAACATTTGATGATCCTCCTGTCTCAGCCTCCTCAGTGCTGGGATTACAGGTGTGTGCCACTGCACCTGGTTAGAAACATGTTTTTGAATTATTTATTGTGCTGTCCAGTGTTACAGGCTGGGGACACAACAGGACTCGCAACAGACCCTGTGCCTGCTGCTCTCGTGGAACTTTGATCGATGCCCTCTTCTGGTCATTAATCAGACAATTCCAAAATAAGTACAGAGGCTGAGGATGTAATTTAGCTCAGTTGTAAAGACCCTGGGTTCAACTCCCAGCAACAAATAACCAAAAAAAAAAAAAAAAAAAAAAAAATCAGCCAATGAGTCTGCAATGGAATTAGAAGAAGCTGGGTGTGGCATCTCACGTCTATACCTCAGCACTTGAGAGGTGAGGCAGAGGGATCAGGGACTCCAGATCATTCTTTACTAAGCTTCATGAGACCCTGTTTCAAAAACAATATCAAAAATCAGTAAGCCAGGCATGGTGTCTCATGTCTGAATTCCCAGTAATAGGATAACTAGAGGTTCAAGGCAGCCTAGGGTACACAGTGAGTTTCAGGCCAGCTTTAGTAAGACCTGGTCTCAAACAAAGTAAAACAAGAAACTAAACCAAAATAAAACAAAGCAAAAGAAAACAAAAGGAACTAGAAATGAGCGAGCATGGCGCACGCAGCCTGGGCCTCCGTCGTGATCACTTTGTTTATTGTGTGGTTTTATGTGAATTTAAAATTAGGTTTTCTCATGTCTATAAAAATGATCAATGAGGGCTAGAGAGATGGCCCAGCAAGTTCAAAAGATACCTGTCCCCAAGCCTGAGGACCTGAGTTTCAACCCTGGATTCCCAACTCTCGCAAGTCGTCCTCTGACCTTAATATACATACACACACACAAGCACACAAAATAAATAAACAAAATGTAATAAAATGTTTTAAAAAAACAACCAGTAAGATTTCGTTGAAACAGGATCTCACTCTGCTGTCCAAGCTCGCCTACAACTCACAACGTAGCTCAGGCTGGCCTCAAATGCTTAGCAATCTTCTTGCCTCAGTCTTCCTGGAACTAGGATTACAAGCATGAAGCATCATGCCTGGCAATGAGCCTGCTTTAGAGAAGAAAAAGGAGAAGGAGAAGAAGAAAAGGAAGACATGGTGGTGGGAAAGGGGAGGAGGAAGAGGAGCAGGAAGAAGAGGAAAAGATAGAGGAGGGAAAAAAATTGTTTGGAGGCAACCAATACCCACTAGACAGAAATAGAAATAACCTTTTCTCACAACCTACCCTGTGCCCAGCTGTGTGTGAGGCCTGTATGCCTGTCCCATGCAATCCTCAAAACCTATCTGAGAGGTTGGTGCTATGATCCATAGTTAACAAATGTATCATTGATGTTCACAGAAGTCAACTAATGAAGTCAAATAATGCACAAGAACTAGGAGAGGAGGCCAGCAGGAAACAGGCCTCAGCTTTTGAGTTTCCATGGTGGGCAATAGGGAAGCTGTGGGCACTTCTGAACAGAGCAGAGCATGCAGGGAAATGTGCTTTATCTGGGACAGGAAAGAAAAGGTGCAATCTATTTGCAGCTGTAACACCAGTGTGGATCAGAGGTGACAGGGACCACACAAAGCTGTGTTAGACACAAGAGGCCTTCTACATGGAGACTCATACAACTGATGAGGTGTGGGACAGCAACAGGGACAATAATCTACATTTTATGTCTTTAAAATCCCAGTGTCCAAAGTGCCAGCATTGCACTCCTCTGTTTCCTGACCCTCCCAGATGTGAGTAAGCAGCCACAGGCTGAGGGCTACCCTGATGCCATCCTTTCTCTGCCATCATGGGCTGCACCTTCAAACTGAGAAATGGAGACGTGATGCTGAACAACTGGAGAATGTCATGTAAAGATGAAGGCAGAAGCCAGGTTTATGCTTCTATCACCCCATGGAACACCACTGACTACCAGAAAACTACCAGAAGTAGGTGGCACAGATCATGAGACAAATGCTCCCTCAACCTCTTGGGCACTTTGATCTTAGACTTGTAGCCTCCAGAACAGTGAAGTGATCAATTTCTTTTGTTTAAACTACTCAGCTTGTATAATTTTTATAGCAGGTCTAACAGACTAACAATACATTATACATATAGGAATAGCATTTTTTATTTTTAAAAGATTTTTAAAAAATTTTAATTTATGTGTGTGTTTGCCAGCATGTGTGCCATGAGTGTGCCTGATACCCACGGATGCCAGAAGAGGGCATCAGATTCTATGAAACTGTAGTTACAGGTGGTTATGAGCCATTGTGTAAGTGCTGAGAACCAAGCCTGGGCAGAGCATGGTGGCACACACCTTTAATCCCAGCATGAAGGAGGCAGAGGCAGGCAGTCTCTGTGAGTTCAAAGCCATTGTGGTTTGCATAGCAAGTTCCAAGCCAACTGGAGCTACAGGGAGACCCTGTCTCAAAAAGACAGAAAAAAAAAAAAAAAAAAAGAATCAAGCCTGGATCCTACACAAGAGCAGCAAGTGTTCTTAGCCACTAAGCCATCTCTGCGGCTCCATGAATACCATTTCATATAGTGATAATCAAATTATGGTTTGTGGGTTTTTTTTTTTTAAACAGGGGAGAGTGTGAACGCAATCCCCCACTACCACAAATTATGCAGTTGAGTTTCCCGCATTTGGGGAAATCAGGGGTCAGCACATCCAGAGTCCAATGGCTAAGTCTCGCCTTGGGAAAACTACCTTCATGATCATGCTATCTCCCCTGCCAGGTAAGTATACTAATGTGTTTTATCTGTAAACATTCCACTGAAAGTACGCTTTCATTTTCTATTTTGTAAATAAATATGATAAATATGAAGCACAAATAAAATTCCCAGTATATAGAATCTGGTAACAAAGGAACATAATTCTACTAAGGCTTGATTTATACTAAAATTTCATAGCTTTTGAATTCAAAACATCTAACATTTGATGTTGGAGGCATAATTTTAGTCAAATATATATGAAAACCTAGGCAAGTTAAAAGAACACACAACTGCCATTACTCACGGTAAGACATGGTCCCATTCATAAATGAGTTATGAATGACTTGGGTCTTGTCACATGGTCTATGTTTACATGCTCAGCTTTGGTGAGCTCCTTTGGTGATGCCCTATGTGTTTCATACAATAGATGCAAAAAGAGATTTAGAGCTAGGCTTGTGACTTGTGCCTGCAACCCCAGCACTCAGAAGGCAGAGAAAAAAGGATTAAGAGTCCAAGGTCATAGTGAATTCGAGGCCAGCCTAGGCCAAATGAGACCTTGTCTCTAAACAAAACAAACTAAAAATAAGGTTTCTGGATTTAACTCAGCAGGTAGTGTGCACACCAGGAAACTGAAGGCCTGGATTCAATCTCTACACGGCCCCCAGACTCAAGAAACCAGGTGTGGTAGCCCAGGCCTTTAATCCCAGCACCTCAGGAGGTGAGGGCTGGAGTTCAAGGCTAGCTTCAGAGAGTAAATTCAAGGCCAGCCTGGGGATACTCGAGACCCTGTTGCAAAACAAAACTACAAAAGTCAAACAAACAAAAATAATTCTGAGCAATTGTGTGGTAGTCCTGACACAAACAGCTGCTACTCCCAGGGGACTAGGGAATAGAGCTGGAGGGGGCATTATTGGAGCCTGAGTGACAACTTTCCCCCACCCTTCCCTGGGCTGGAGAAAGAGGAGAGGTTGGGAGAAGCGGCATCAGTACCAACGAGGGGCTCTTGGGCATCTTGAGAGCTGAAAATCACTCAATGTTTAGCGCAGCCCATGGCCCTGACGATGAGGGAGGAATGCCAGACCCTCTCACACACCCTACTAAGCCTGAGGGTTTACACATCCCCTACCATTCTCCAGCCGTGTGTCAACTAACACTGTGTCAAGCCCCTGTGAGCCATGATCTCACCCTACTTCAGAGTGTTCAGCCAACTGAAGGATTACTTAAGTGTGTGGGCCAGGCTGCTCCCTGCAGAGCCCAGAGGTGAGACAGCTGTGGCTTCTGCAGAGGGACCTGCTCCAGTTTAGTTTTGCCTGACTAGAAAAACCACCCTGCCTGGTGTGGAGGTTCCAGCTAGTATCTTGTCATTCCAAACACAGCCCAGGGGCCACTGAGCGTTAGACTGGAAAAAAACAGAATCATCCTGTGGCCCTCACCTCACTTCTAGGGTCTTAATTTGCACTTTAAACAGAGTCCTGTGGTACTTTATTTGTGCAGATGTCAGGGGTGGGGGCGGATGCAGCACGGAGGTCAATCATTTCCCTGAGAGCCAAGAGCCCAAGTTCCTGGAGAAACTTGAATATTGATTTGTGTGTGTGTGTGTGTGTGTGTGTGTGTGTGTGTGTGTGTGTGTGTGTGTGAGTTTCAAAGGAGTGAGGTTCTGGGCCACAAACACTTCTAATTTACAGTCTTATGAGCACTTAATTGAGGGTGTTTACAACAAAACAAAACACTGCTCACAGAGCATGTGCCCTGCCCCAGGCAAGAAGATCCTCAAAATTTCTTGCCTCTGGGAGATTCTCAAGGAAAGAATGTGAGAATAGTTTAAGAGTTTCTTTGACTTTTGGACAGAGACATTTTGAGAAATTGAAAAACTCCTTTTGGAGAAAGGAGAAACAAAAGGGGGCGGGGATGGGGGTAAAGTTTCTTTTCTTCCAAATTTGAGCACAGCATTCAAGATCTGGTCCTCCCACCTGTTCGGAGGCCTGTTGAGCCCTAGCATAGACATATGTCTCACCTTTGACCAGGTTTCTGCTTGCTTTAGTTCGGGTTGAGTTTTTGAAGATATGGTCCCACTGGGTAGCCAGGCTGGCCTTGAAATCTGTGAATCTCCTGCTTCAGCTTCCCAAATGTTGCTGGGATTACAGGCATATATCCCCTACATGGCGTTTGGACAAACTTGCTGATCCATGAGGGCCTGTTTTTTCTTCCCTCACATGGACAATAAAACCTGCCTTATAGCCTTGCTCTTCTAGATCATTGCCAGAGCAGGTCCACAGTGGGAGGTCTCTGGCCTTGCTTACTCTCTCCTGTGTTGTCTGAGTCCCTAAGCACAGGAGGCCTAGCCTGCCTTTGTTTTTGAGACAGGGTCTCCCTGAAGCCTCAGCTGACCTGGAACTTGCTATGTAAGTCAGGCTGATCTCTGTCTCACAGAGATCCACCTGCCTCTGCCTCCTGAGGAGTAAGTGTGCACCATCGCCCCAGGCCTGGCCTGCCTGCTTTACTCATCCCTTCCATGGTGCTGTGCTCTGGACATGAGGCTCCAGACTCTCTGGCCTTTGGCATGACCCTCAAGCATGCTCCTGTTAGGGTTCCAATAGCAGCCCCCTCCCCCTCCCCAACAGGGACCTACAAACCCTCCTGAAAAGGAGCCTGCCTTTCCTCTGACCTCCAAAGATAAGCAGAGTTCCTCTTATCTTAAGAGGAAAAAGAAGACACTTCCACACCCTAATCCTACCTGCTTCCCCCTCCCTGATTCCACACCCTAAAGCCCCCATATGTACAGTCCCAGCTCACACACCGTGGACATTCTTTCCTGGACATCTTTCCTTCCCTGACATCCTTCCCTTCCTTCCCTTCCCCTTTCCCCCCTCCCCCCTTCCCCCTCCCTTCCCTTCTCTTCCCTTCCATCTTTCCCTTCGTGGACATCTTTCCCTTCCCGAGGGAAAGGTGCCCCGTGCGAAATAAATCTATGTCCCACTGAGAATTCCATCTGAGCCTCCGTGCCTCATCCATCCGCTTGTGCCTCCTCCATCTGCGCCGCTCGCTCCCGCCCATTCTCTACCTATCAGCTCCCTCTGTTCTTATCTTCAGGCCTGTCCCACTCAGCTCTCATCCTGACATCCCTTCCCAGATCTCTGTACAGGAGACCTTATGTCATTTAGGCCTGAGCCCCATACCCCCTCCTTAAAAGACCTTCCTTTCTGGAAGAACCTTCTACCTTGACCTCCAGACACTGGCTGCCGCTACTTTACATTTTCTTCCTAGCAATGATCATCTGAAATTATTAGTTTTAAATATTTTATTGACTGTTATGTGTGCATTGTGTGTGTGTAGTATGCATGTGTGGACAGTGTGTGTGTGTGAGGACAGGGTGTGTGTGTGTACCACTGCGTGCATGTGGAGGTCAGAGGACTACTTTCTGGAATTCAGTTCTTGCCTTCCACCAAGTTTTAAGGACAAATCTCTCTTGTTGCCGCTGCACCGTGGACTCCAGGCAAGTTGGTGGCCATCAAGACCCCAAGCAATTCTCCTCTATTTCCTATCCAGTCACTATGAGTGCTGGCTGCCACATCCAGATTTTTACATAGATACCAGGGATGCGTGGCAAGTGCTTTTACCCTTTGAGTCATCTTGTTAGCCTTCCTTTGAAATTATTTTACAGTTACTTGTTTATGAGGAGTTACTTTTTTGCTCTCCAGAAGGGTAGACCTTGTCTGTCATTTCCCAAGGCCTATGCCATAGGCTAGCACAAACAAGAATTTTTTGTTTGCCTTTTTTGGTCTTTTGTGATAGGGTCTTGCTGTGTAACCCAGGCTGGTCTTGAACTCCAGGCTATCCTGGTTCCTCAGCCTCCTAAGTGCTAGGATTACAGGTGTGTACCACTATACCTAGGAAAGAGCTTTTGTTAAATGAAAGAGTGAGTGATCGAGGGCATGAATGAAATGCAGACAAGACAAATGTTACCTTGAAGGGTGCACTCCCTGGGGAAAAAGGCTTACTGCTACTGCCTTGAGCCACAGAGTGGAAGAGGGAGAGCTGGACTTGCCTGGTCAAGGGTGTGTTGGAAGTCCCTCAAGGCTGCCTTCATCACTTGTACCCAGTAGCCATGGCACCTTGAACTTTCCATGATGATGAAGAAGTTGAAGATGAAGAAGAAGAGGAGAAGGAGGAGGAGGAGGAAGAGGAGGAGGAGGAGGAGGAGGAAGAAGAAGAAGAAAATAAAGGGGAGGAAGAAGATTTGCTATGGTACTAGGATCTGAATTCAGGGCTTTCTGCGTATTAGGTAAGCATCCTAACGCTGAGCTATTGTTCCAGCCCTTTCTCCCAAGTCTTATGCTTGTGTTTGTCTGTCTTCCTGACAGGACTTCTTGGTCCTTGAGAAAGAAGCCTAGTCTTGTTTGATTTCTGTCAGTGCCTAACTGTATACCAGGTAGGTTTATCATAGGCCATAGATGCTAGGATCTCAGTGAAAACACAGAACCAAGTACAAGCCAGCATACAGCTAATGCATTAAAAATCACACATAATGTTATTGTATTTTCAGTTAATGCTAAAAATGATTTCTTATGTTTGTCTTCGGAAAATACTGACCTTAAAAAATTTTTTTAACAGGTTCCTGGCTGACCTGGAACTTGCTATGAAATCAGGTTGGCCTCTAACTCAGAGATTCACAATACTGGCTTTTTCTTTTCTTTTTTCTTTTATCTTTTGTTGTTTGTTTGTTTGTTTTGAGACAGTGTCTCCCTGAAGTCACAGCTGGCCTGGATTCACTAAGGAAACCAGGCTGGCCTTGAACTCACAGAAATCTGCCTGCCTCTGCCTCCCAAGTGCTGGGATTAAAGGCATGTGTCACCATGCCTGGCTAATACTGGCTTTTTCAATCATGGATACATGTCTGCTTCAACTTTATTTTGGGTATCTTTAAAGTCAGGTATGAAAATATGTGGGGTGCATTTTGGTGCCTATGGGGCAAAGTGGATCTGGGGTCCAGGACTCCAGGGCACAACAGGCAGTTGAATTTCCTTGTTGCTGG